AATCTGAACTAGTATCACTAATTGTTTAAAAGGAATACACATTAAAACTCAATTGACTAAGCATCTTACTGAGCAACAATATAATTTGTTTTATGAGAAAACATGTTTCGGTCACTATATGAGAATGAGAATATGTGTTGGTCAAGGTCAAATTCTCTGGTGTTGTATGGCACTAGAACTTGAATGTAGTACTCGGCAGGCTCTTGTTATTCGAGTTAATGGCAAAAGCATTTTCCTGAGTAAATTAGATTTGTAAGAAAAAATATTTAACTTGGCAAGCATATAAATATATAAATTATGCCATAATGTAACTTATAAACTACATCACATAAAAACAAATTTATACAATAATGTAACTTATAAATCAAACCTGACATATACAATAATTATTATGATTTAATGAATACATCAAATATGGAGTAATGAATACAAAACAATGAAACAAAAGTGCATGAATACAATGAATACATTTAATATGTATCTTTACTTTAACTTAGAAAAAAATCAAATGGCATTACTATTTGTTAAAAAACGAATACTCCCCATATTTTCTTTGTATTCAAACTAAAAAAAAAAATTAAATACCCAAGTCATTAACAAATACAGAATTATAGATGTTAACAGTTTTTTGTATCCAAGTTAAAAATGTATATATTTACAATAGTCCTTGCATATTGAAACATTAAAAACAAATTTGAACAAAACTGTATTATGCATATTTCAATGAAATCTGCCAACATATATGTATACAAAATAAATATTGAACCATTAAAAACAAACGGCCAATCAAAAAATCTTCAAACAATCCATTAACATTTTTCGTAATCAACAACCACAAAAAATTAAACAAATCCACCAAAACTAATTTTTCTTACGTTGTTCATAGTACATACAATTTACAATGAAAACATATAAAGTTTACAATTATTTACAAACTTTCATATCAAAATTTTATAATTACTTAGAAAAAGATTAAGGATGAAGCAATTAACTAATACCTAGTCCAATTTGTATTCAACCAATTTGATCGAACTCCCAATAAAAAAATCCTTCTCCACAGTTGTTTGTCAATGATTTTATTGTACTGTTTCGTTAAAATAATTCTCAACAAACAGGAAAAAAAGAGATTTCAATCAAAATATATTGAAAATCGATAATGATAGAACTCATCAGCTATGGAGAAGACCGATTAGTATTTAATTTTGAAATTTTGTAACTGCTGAGACTTATAAGCAATTGTTCCTTTTTTTAAAATGTCTCTCCCCTAAATTTCTCCTTTTTATTATTTAACAATTGTATTCTTTCAATTAAAACAAATAATAAAAACTTAAATAAGATACATAATAAATTAAAATTGACATTTTTACTAAATATTGAAAGTGTTGACATTGGATCCTATTAAATGTCAAAATATTGACATTTTAAAAAAATTTCCAAATTATATTGACATTGTATCATCTAAAATATCAAAATTATATCAATATTGTATTATGTGAATTACAAATACTATAGCAACACCAGCACTATTTAACAAATTGAACTTGTTAATATTTTTTGTCATTATTTTTTTCTCAAATTGTCAGTTTATAACATAACAAAAAATATTATTTTGATAATATTATCTTTTAAAATTAACACTAGTACAAACTTGAGAACTTGAAATAATTATACTAGAACTATATGACACCATTTACGAATATCATTGAAAATTTCTAATATCAAAATTGTACCATATAATAATACTAACATTGTAACATATAATATACCAAAAATTATTGCAACCCCATATAATATACCAATTTAGTTGAAATTTCGTGTCATTTTGTTTTTTCAAATGACATTTTATCTACAAGGGAACCCAACATAAATAATAGAACTAATTACATCATATAATTAAATATGATTCTGAAAAAAAATGTTTAATAAACAATGAATAAAATTCAAATCCGCTAATATCATTCAATTAGATTCTTAACTCAACAATGTTAATCCTCAAATGGATATTTGATACAAGTTTTCTTGTTGTGATCCTCTATAGGCTATATCACATTTTCTACAATTTACTTTAGATCTCTTGATTATTTTTTTCTCAATTGGTATATGCGGCACATATCATTCCTTCAATCTTGAAATCCACATATCATCCTGCAATAGATTTCAAAAAAAAATTAAAGAACCTACTAAACAACAGTTATAACAATCAAATTTAAAATATACAATCACATTTTTTTTATATCACCAAAAAAAGGTTATATACGAAATGGTGTTAATATGGTTAAAAACTTTATTGTTTTTAATCTACCAATTTTTTTGTATTAACTTTATTGTTTATGCACCAATTAAAAAAGACCATCATTTTCACCAATTAATATACTAAAACATATTCACCATATATGAATCTTATAATAAATCACACGCCCTACAAATTAAATCAAAGAATAACTATCTAAAAACACGGAATTGGTGATTAATAACAACGTAACTTACACGATCAATTACACCACTCAATATAGCCAAATTCAAACGCCTAATTCATATTGTAACACAAAAAAATATATACACAACACAATAGATTACAAGATAACGATCATGAAAAAAAAAACTAAATATAATTAATAAAATCATTAAAAAATAACTTCAAAAAACACCAATTCAATCGTGATTTATCAGAATTACATAATGCGTCCCATCATCCGTTGTGTTGAATTAGGATTGAAAAATTCTTGGTATCCATGATCGAACAGTCGATCAGAATGAGTAGAAAGAGAGTTTTATTTTTGTTAAAAAAAACCTTTTTAAGATGGGAGAGAATATATAACTAATTTGAGTAAATTGTGGAAGGTAAAAGAATTGGAGGAAATCAAGGAATCTGAGTAAATCGTGGTTGACTATTTCTATATTTTTTTTCCTATTTCAACGATTTTTTCCCTATATCTACGGGTTTTTTTTCTATATTAAATCCTATTTTTGGAAGAAAAAAAAATATTGCTATACAGTTTTTTTTCCTAAAATATATATTTCTTATTCTGCTTATTTATTTTATAATAAAACATCACTAACACATATAACCAATTTTATTTTATTTACTTTGTTTTAGCTCTTATTAAAGATATATCATGATTTTCAAAAAGACTTACAAAAAAAAAAGATAAAAATTGACAATGTAACGGTAAAATAGAAATTTAAAATTATCATTTGACATGAGGGAAGAATATCTATTATGCAAAGTTGGGGGTTTAAAGGTTTTTGATCCTTTATTTAACTGAACAGAAAGTGACTCATTATACGTACTCCATATCGTTAGACTAGTGCAAGTCATGTTCACTTGAAACGACTTGTTAATATTTATTCAAGTAATTAAACAAGATTAAAGTAATAGTTAAACAAATTGATTTCCTCGATACCTAACAAGAATGTATCTGGTTTTCAGACATTTAATGTACTGTTAAACATTTTGCTTCTAAACCGTTAATATAATATTTTTGTATTGAATAAGAAATTTATACACATGAAGAACTCAGAGAATGAACGTGTGTCATACAATATCACAAAAAAATATCTATGATGATTCCATTAATATAGTGCTTGAATCCAAGACTAATTGGTTAACTTGACCTCAACTCGCTAATGAGATAACTATATGGTTCTTATTAAAGAAAAGGCTGAAACTCGTGGCGCGAAATTAGTAAAAAGCTCATGTTTTAAAGATAGAACAAAAAGACAGATGCACAAGATATATCTATACGAGATTATGCAAAATTACATAAGAAAATTAGTTGACACGCATAATGATAAAAAACAACTAGTAGAGGTGCGTATTGGTACGTGAAAAAAGTCGATTTCCAATTAAATGCCTAGAATGCCCAATTACTCACGCAAGGAAAAAGAAAAGAACACTACGGTGGACTTATCAAAAGGGTTAAAGACAAGTTTCAAACTTGAAAAGGTAATATGTTATCTTTTGGAGGCAAAGAGGGTATTGTTTCAACAGAATAACAAAGCATTCACATTCATGTGCTATCTGTCAGTCCCTCCTAAATGTGTAATAAGGGAGCAGGACAGAACTTTTGTTAAGTTCTTCAAGGTAATAATAATTCGGACAGAAGTAACATTTGGCATCCTGAGAGAAGTTCTGTCTTCCTAAACATAGAGGGTTAGGTTTCAGATCTTTATTGGAAGATTCTAAAGTTTTGTATGCAAATTGTGGTGAAGATTTAGAACTTGTGGTCTAACTATTTCTAAAATAAATATTACAAAAAGCAAATTCCAACAATGGTGCAATAGCAAGTAAGTCCACAAGCACATTATGCTAGAGTAGAATAATTGTACAAACTTTGTTATGGGAACCAAAAGAGGTACCTCTAGCATTTGGTATGATAACTGGACAATGTTTGATCCTTCATATCTTCTCCAATCAGATACCCAAACTTGTCATCCTTTATCTGATAATGAGATGTTTTTATAAATAAAGGATGAATTTATCATCTTATGGAGTCGATCATTCTACTTCAGGTGACTGATCATGTGAGTTAAAACTTGGATCATCTATGTTTGCTACTCCTTGGTGGATAAAAATTATTATAGGAAAGTTGACAGTGAAGAATGCATGAGTAATTATCAGGGAAGAGGTTGTGACTACTACGATTTATAAGTAATTAGATAAAAGGCTTGCCTTTAATCTCCTTTGGATGGATACTGTTGAACTCGCAAGGTCCCAATGGCAGCTATCACGGCCAACTGGAATCTCAGTATTTCCCAGTAATTTTGTGGTATTAAATACCTGTCCCATTGAAGAGATCTGATAAAAGGGTGATCAAGCTAGAAGTTTAGGAGAAATACCTAAAGTGTTAGTGATAGTCACGACTGAAAACAAATGCACTGCCCGAGATACAGTGCATAAGCATTCACTGTGGCACTTGCAGGAAATGATTTTCTACAAGTGCAGCATATGGTACCAGACCTTCAACAAGCTGCCAAAGATTATTTTGCACAGGCGCAACTTATGAGGAAAATAGCTCTAGTCTGGCTATATAACATTAGCTAGCACAAGTACAAGAAACTAATGCAGAATAATTCTAGTGGGAATTAGCTACAACTCTTCATACTCGATATCACAACATTGACACATTTGCATGCTAATGCAGGAACAGCATAGAAATCATTAAGGGTACAGCAAATCCAGAAAGTGCCCAAGCAGACAAGTCACCACAATCCTTCAAATTTAATCAGCTCAATATTCAGAACCACGTTGACACAAAGCGGAAACCATACTGCCACTTCATGTCTTCAAGCTAGACAACTGGCACATTTGCAAGGAAGACCTCATTCTCATTAAGATGGCACTGCATACAAAGAAGCACTAGATTAAGCTCCCAAACACAAACAAACAAATAGGCAACAACTACATAACCCACAGAAGACTACACCTATGTTTGAAAATACCCCAAAAGCAACAAAAAAGAACTGAAGATGAATTATGTTCACCTTTTGGGCCACATCACAAAGAACTATTTTTTATCAGCAAGGTGAACACTATTTGTACCATATCACAAACCAAACTTACTACTCATGTAACAATAAGACAAATATACAAATTTATTTCATTTTCTATGACAATCGCTATTTCCACTTCTGAATTTCAGTAAATGCCACATACATCCACTCCCCTCTAAAAAACACCCATGAGGATTCTAACTAGTGGCATGTACCAATCACAAATCCCACATTGTAGTACCCTCTCTGTCTAACCAAAGCCATGGGAATTATCCCATCAACTTTATTTTCTTCTCATAGCCATTGTGGTTATGTTCACAATCAGATCAGTCAAAGAAAAACCAAACATTAAACTAGCCAACAAAGCTTCAGAAGTAAGCATCAAGAAAGACGTACTATATGTAGAAGTATCAATCTGCTCAGGAAGTTCTTTAATATCCACTTCAAACCTCTCCTGAACCTACAGTAGGTATAAAGCACAAGAAAATGCTATCAATGAGGATGGCATTATAAGCATAACAGAGTGAAAATAGGAGGGTCCGGACTCTCAACCTGATTAAGAACTTCAGAATCTGATGCAGATGACACAAAAGTTATGGCAAGCCCTTTAGTTCCGAATCTACCAGCTCTTCCCACCTACCAATATTATTCAAGATTAAATAAGAAGACTCCTTCGATGAAATTAGAACCTAAAACAATGAGTGCAAGTCAGGCAGGACATACTCTGTGAAGATAAGTATCTGCAGAATCTGGCATGTCATAGTTAATAACAATGTTCACCCTTTCAATGTCTATGCCTCTACCAACCAAATCAGTTGCCACAAGAATTCTCTTGTGCCCTTCCTTGAAACCCTTGTAGCGTGTCAGTCTACCAAGCAGACAAGGCAAGAATTAAACTTGCATAACATGTAAACAGAAAGATGGCAACAGCAGCATAGTATGATTTCTATAAGTCATACAAATGTCAGATCAGAGGAAATGACATATGCACAAGTTATAACTCCACAGGAAGAAGGAGAGATCGGAGTGAGATGCAAAAATATTAAAGGGTGCTTCTGATCCTTGTTCTTGTCACACAACTGATACCACAAACCTTGAGGGAAAAAGTGGTTGAGAACTGACTATCTCATTGACACTAAACTTCTGACAGATGACATACAAATATTTACTGACACTGATTAAACAGAGACTGCATAGGCAGCTAACATAAAAGGAGTTGAACACAAAAGTTAGACAGACCTTTCTTCTTGGCTCATGCCAGAGTGGATGCAGATAGATGGAAAATTACACTCCATAAGTAACTTGTTCAACTCTGCTGCTCTGCTGACACTCTTGACAAAAATTACAACTTGGTTGAAGTCCAAAGCATCCAATAGGTCATTCAGCTTCCGGTTTTTCTCCGTCTCACTCAATTTGATGTAGTGCTGCCATCAAATAGAAGCAACTTAAGGAAGATTGTGATAACTAAAAACTAAGGCAAAAGATCTTGCTTCAAGATGTACCTGTACAAGTCCATGCAGGGTCAACTTGGCCTCATCGTCAACATAAATTTCCATTGGCTGAAAGGAATAAAGGTTATAGTAAAGGATATTAGGAGCTTCGTGAGCTAACGGAATCTGATAACGAAATGAACGATGGATGAAGATCCTCCATCTGTGAATTTTCTCCTTGCAGCTTAGAGTAAAAGCACCCAACTAGTCCCCATTCTTGCTCAATGTGTTTATACAGCGCTTATCAAAAAAGCTTCCGTTAGAACTCCAAGCATCACACCACAGGTTATCCCATTTCAACTAAGACCTTCCCACCCCTCTTGACATCTTTAACTATAGGACAAGAACATGGAAGACAGATTGACGCACAAACTCAAGACAACGAAGAACTACAAGCTTAGTGGAAAACTAGCAGTTCAGCACAGCAACCAGCTCCTGAGACACCTCATTTCTGTTCTCTTCCCCCGGTAAAATTAAGTTTAGACAAAGATTATACCAAATAAATTCACTACTATCGCCTGCAGAAAGCTGAAATTATGGAAATACGGTAGACTTCTAAATTCAAGAACTGGCCACAGGACATTACATCTTGCATGAATTTCTTGCAAACCGGGCGAATCTCCTTGCTGAGAGTTGCAGAAAACATCATGACTTGTTTGTCATGAGGAGTCATCTTGAAGATTTCTTGCACGTCTCTCCTCATGTCTGCATATGTAAAAGATGTACTTGAGAATCAAAAGAATGAAGATAAAAGGAATTTTAGCAGTGAGTTGGAAAAAAGGCTTAGTTAAGACATACCAAGCGATTCAAGCATCTTGTCACATTCATCTAGTATAAAATGCCTCACATTCCTCAAAGACAGGTCCTTATCTCTTGCCAATGCAAGTATTCTTCCAGGAGTTCCAACAACAATATGAGGGCATTCATTCTTTAGCAGCTCTTTGTGGAGCTTGATGTTGACACCACCATAGAAAACAGCAACCTTGATATCAGGCAGATAAGTGCTGAACCTCTCAAACTCATGACAGATCTGCAGATAGTGTAGTCAGTTAGCAGATTAAACATTTTTTCACAAGTTGAGCAAACTAGACAATCGTCTAACATTGAGCAAATGTAAAAAGCAGAAAACTTTCAGATCAGTACACATACCTGATAAGCTAATTCCCTAGTGTGACATAGAACCAGGGCAGCAACCTGACCAGCAACCGGTTCAATCTGTTGCAGAGTTGAAAGGACAAAAACAGCGGTTTTTCCCATTCCAGATTTAGCTTGGCAAATGACATCCATTCCCAGAATAGCTTGTGGAATGCACTCGTGTTGCACTGATGATGAACCAAACACATTGGGGGCAACGAGACCTCAGTTTCAGTTTAAAAATTTTACCATGGTATATCTCCAAATTAGTAGTGATAGGAGTAATTACCTGAAAACAGAAATTAGAAAGAAATTGTCAAGAAAATCCTAATTAGATTATGGTTCAGTATATCAAAAAAAAAAAAAAAGAGAACTTCTAATTAGCCACACTCCCAACACCCTAAAAAATACCAAACCTAAAAGGAAAAATTGAAGACCAAACCCTGATACAGTATGCATTTCTTACAACTTATGACCAAATTCTAACCATACAATAGTTTCTCTCCCTACATATGTTACATAGAAAGCTAACACAAGCTCAACATAAAATAAGGATTGATCCTACAAGTGACTAGAGGTTAATGCATGCCAAAATAAAAGGTACAGGTGGAAAGGTGCAAAAGTTAGACCAGACAATCACAATTGCATTAATGCTAATGTCCTCTTATGGTCTCCCGTTACATAGAAAGCTAACAAGCTCAACATAAAATAAGGATTGAGCCTACACAAGTGCATAAGGTTAATGCAAAAGATTCAGTTGGAAAAGTTAGATCTGACAACCACAATTGCATTAATGCCAATCTCCTCTTATGGGCTCCCTCATTCCTACAAAGACTAGATTCCTCAAACTTCCTATAAGGTTACAACAAAAATAACCATCAGAGTGGATATCGAATTGGCAAAGAAGGAAATTGATGGAACACGGTCCCATAGGTTTTTCCTTTATAAGGGCGGGTTTGCAGAGGAAGAAAAATAGTTTGTATCTCAACATTGGCAAGACATGTAACAGCCAAAAGATTTGGGGAAAAATGCCCAAGGGAGCTGCACCATTATAGCTCACCAGACTCTCACAAGTTCACAGAACATGACAATTATACAATGAGATGGATGTGTGAGCATTCTAGGATAGATACAATTCGGAATGTAGAATGTGAATTACATAGGAGTGGCCTCAATAGGGGGGAAGATGCAGGAAATGAGGTTGAGATGTAAAGATGCCCCAGTGCAAAGGTATGAAAGGTTGGCTACGGATTGTTTCAAAAGAGGTAAGAGGTAGTGCAAAAAAGTATTTGGGGGACTGATTAGGCGTGACATGACGCAGCTTCAGCTTACCGAGGATATAACCTTAGATAGGAGGTTATGGAGGACACGGATTAGGGTAGAAAGTTAATTAGGCAGTCAAGCATTGTCTCGCTTATCTTTTCGTACTATTTGTCATATTGTTGGTCATAGTATTACCCTTGTAGTTTCTTGTCTTTTTGAGCCTGGTTACTATCTATTTCTTGTTTTTGAGTTAAGGGTCAATCGCAAACAACATCTCTACCGGTAAGGTGTACATACACTCAAACCTACCTAGAATTCACTTGGTGGGATTACATGTGTATGTTGTCGTAATATTTGCCCAGTATTGAATGGGGAAGCTAATTAGATCAGCCAATAAAGCCTCAATACCCCTACAGAAATTCATGATATGGCTTCTATGTATCTCATATGGAATATCTACTTGTGTTGCGGACAAATAGATTGACATTTATGATGTTGTTTGATGTGAAGAAGAACATTCTCGATGAAAAATGTGTCTTGGAAAATGTTTTCCACAAAACTAAGTTTTTCCTATCTTCTTTTGTTCAATATTGCAAGGAAAAAAGGTTAATTAGGAATTTGTAAACAAATAATTTAGGAGGTGGAGGCGAGGTGGGAGTAGGGGTGGTGGTGACGATTAAGGGCCCGTTTGGCCATGCGATATGAAACCATGATTGAAATCATAATATGAAATAGTAAGATGAAGTTGAAGTTTTGTATGGACATGCAATTTGAACTTTTTAAAAAACCTCATAAGTTGTAGAACTATTAAATTGTCTCAATTCTTTATACAATCATACCAAATAAGCATAAGTTTACAAATAGTCTACTAGTCTTTTAACACAATCCTCCCACATATTACAAACAACCTTCTCACATTGAACTTGCATTGCTCAATCATATGACCGAGAAGATGAACCAACATTGTTACTTTTAGCCATTTGTCAATCAATTTGGTTGGTAAATAAATTTGATCAAAAATAATAAAAATTAGTGAATAGAAATGGTGATATAGGAATTGATTTTGAAGTAATAGTAAATTTTATGTTGGTGATAATAATCGTTATATGTGATATAAATGATTTGAAAAGTAATAATATGAATTATAAATTTTATTTACGTATGAAATAAATGGTTTGCAGATATAAATGTGGAGTTGTTTTTACAAAGTATAAACTTTTGTGGGTTAACTGTTGTATTTGAAAAATCCCAAATCATGATTTGGAATCCAAATCATGATTTTAGGAGAAATGGAAATTTCATCCCATGATATGAATTTATGAAATCATGAGATGAAATCAGCATGAGAACCGTCCAAACGCTAATTTCATCTCATGATTTCATACGGTAATATGAAATTGCATGCCCAAACACCTACTAAGTGTTCATTTTTATCATTTTCAAGGAACTTGTTCTCCTAGAAAATTTTCCAAAACATATTTGCCAACCAAACATGGATAAAAAATTGAAAAATATTCCTCTCCATAGCTAACACCCTGAAGGTAAAATAAGAGTCCTTTAGAACTAGAGGTATTCTAAATCTAACACTTATGCATAAATATGTACTACAAGACGAAGGAATACATTTTTGCAACTACTGGTTTTTCATTCAAAGGAACTGGACACGACATCAAATTTGTATGATCCAGCTTGCAGTAGTTTTTTCTTCTATTTAGCACAAAAATTCACCCCTCCCTTTTAGCTTGATTCAGAAACAAGAGGAAGTTAGGCATGGAATATGCCTTGTACTCAACCTTAAGCCCTGAATGCTTATACTCAACTAATCAAATACCAAGGATAGAAATATTTTGGTAAATCAGACAAACATTACTACTTGCTTGTCAGCTTCAAAGAAAACAAGACTAAGCACGAGTAGGAAAATGCTCACAACAATCACACCACAAATAAGTTTAAGTATCAGTATTAGAAAGGTTATTATTAGTTGGTTATCACCTAAGTTGCATGGACTCTTCACTTTTGATGTTGCACCCGTGTCAGATTCTCCAAATAACACTATTTTTGGAGAATTCGACACACACTCACTGACATTTTTGAAGAGTCCGAGCAACATAGGTTATCACTTTTTTACATGATAGTACAAATCAACAATTTTAGTTCAGAAGGACCAAATATGCCCAAATACAAGGTAACTTGCCTTCGGACGGATGCTCAAACCCAGAATCAACGATAGCACGCAGCAACTCTGGCTTTAGAAGAAAGTCTCTGAAACCTGAACTGTGAATTCCAACATAACCCCTGCATCCACCAAAAAAGACCAGAATATTTAACACCAAGGACACAAAAGTCCAAGCTTGATGAAGTAGGACCAAAAGGGGTCAACACAAAATACAAACACGAGAACAAAAATCAATCAACCAAGCTTCCCCCAAAGAAGTTGGAATTGACTTATATGAATCCTCCATATTACACCATGCTAGGACCCATTTCTTTTTATTAATAAACATCATTGACTTCCAAAAATATAAATAACAGTCTGCCCCTACTACAGCTCAATCACAAACAAGCAAGGTTTGGCTATATTAATCCTCTATATCTATTCCACTCTATCTATCCCAGTTAGATTCCACACCAATAAAGAGAGAACAAAATAAAAAGCTCATTTGTCAAATCAGTGAAATTTCCAAAGCTGATAAACCACTCCAACATAAAAATACAGACATAACAAAAAAAATTCAAATAGGTGTAGTTAATTCATTAAAACCTATAATAGAGATAGAGGCTTTTTTCCAGCCAGCAAACAGATTTAACAAAACCAAGAGAAGAACATATGTCAGTAGCAAATAGACTCTTAACCAGATGCATAAACCTCCATGAATACAAAAAACAAAAAACATAAAAGTACAAACTTTACAAACTTTAAACATAAAAAGTACAAACAAAGAGCATATGTTAGAAAATGCTTGAACATAGGCTTCATGACATTTTTCTGGAAAACAGTACCGAAAAACGATTAAAATAGAAGCAGTAATATAAGCTTGAACTTAACTAAAATAGTTTCCAATGTATACTAATTAGGAAAAACAGAAAATTTAATGCGAGAGTGAAGATCTCACTTTTTGGCCGATTCGCCGTTGACTTTTGTGGCGGAATCAGGAATTTTTTCGTCATCTTCTTCATAGTCGAGAAGCTCCTCCTCATAAGCATCGTTCTCCTTGTTTTCTCCCATATTTAGTTTTACTATTACTACTACACATCAAAAATACGCCAGATCCAAACATCAGTTTCTAAAATCTAAGAAAACAATTGCGAAAAAAATATTGAATACGTGTGTAAAAGAGAGATTTGGTAAGAAAAATGCTTTTACCTTGAAGAATCTCAGAGAAAAGTTGGATCTCGGTAGGGGGTTAGGGTTTCGGAAGCTGCAGAAAAAATGTTAGGAAAATACAAAAATCGTATGAGAGTAAAGAGTGATTGGGTTTTGTGATGGAGGGGTTAGATTATAGAAGAGGGTATGCTGAATTTTTGTTGACGATTTTATCCTTGGCTCCTTTCCAGACAGAAATACGAATTAGTACCAAGTCGGTTTAGATATTTTGGGAAATTTTCCCTTCTAAAAAAAGTCACTTTTTTCTTTTTCCGAAAATAAAGATTTTCTTTCGACCTTAGCATTAAGGGGTCGTTAGGTTATGGACGGAGTATGTAGGTAGATCTGTCAAAATGGGTTTGGTCCGCTAGGTCGATTCAATTCAACTCTTGAATTTAATGGGATTGGCCTAATTTTTTTGGCTCGTTTAGGAATGAGGCTTTTTAGCCCAGTCTTATTTGGCCCGTTAGCTTCGTAGGTCCAATCCGCAAGCCTCAGAGACCAGCCCGTGGGATATGGATATTTTAAAATATCTTTTATATATATTTTTAGTAGTGTTTTATTTGTAAAGTTTTTATCAATAAATATTTTTAAAAATAAAAAATCAAGTCTTTTAAACTAGCTAGTTTTTTGTGGGAGGAATAGTGGAATGATCAACATTTTTCCGCTAAATCTTACGTTGACTATTATGTATTTTTGTTCGTATTTACCGAAGTGTGTGATTCATAAATGAAAATTTATATGTATTGATGTCGTGTTCATAGACGTCAACGTTTGATACTCTTAGATACTCTTTCTAAGAGAGTAATATTGTTCATTTTTTGGTTGAAGGGTCAACCTGTCCCAACCCGTGGCCCGCTTAGGGCTAGGTTGGGCTGCTATTTTATAGGCCCTTTAATTAAAAAGGTCAGCCCGTCCCAACCCATTTAATTTTCTAGCCCGTTGGGTTAGGTTGGGTCAGCCCATTTTTGACAGCTCTATATGTAGGTATTAGTTATTGAAAAAAAATTCAGAAATAGCAACTATAATAGATATAATTAGGAATGTTCATTGTTTAGTTTAGATTGATTATTGGTTAAAATCAAAATCAAATTAATTTAGTCGGTTTTTAAATTTCTAAAATCAAATCAAATGAAGAAAAATAACCATTGGTTTGGTTGTTGTCGGTTTGGTTCGGTTTGGTTTGAATCTTTTGGTTTTTTCTATTTGAAAGTAATAAATTAAATTTGTTGAGAGTATACGCATCTAGATAGACAAAGACTAGAGTTATCATGGATTCAATTAAGAAATACTAGAGTTATTATTATACAAATCGTTTTTTTTAATCGGTTTGATTCGGATTGCGGTTCGGTTTGGTTTTTTAACCTTAACCATGAACAACCTAGACATAATAAGCCTATATAACTATAGTTTCGATAATTGCGCTCCATAGCTATAGTTTTGTTTGTTATGGAGACTGTGGCATGTATATTTCTGTCTGTTTGTATATTTCACTTGCGAATATACAAATAGAGTGAGTATATACAAATTCTATATTTATACATTTAGGAATTTTTCAGAACTCCGTTGTATATTTCGCTTACCAATATACAAACAGGATAATTTATTATGAATTTTTCATAAATCATATACAAATAGCTAGGGTAAGCATATACAACATTTTTGGATTTATACAATCAGAAATTAAATTATACAAACAAATCAGATGAATAGCAAGAATCGAGGAAATTGTAGCCACAAATTATAATTTCCTTAAATTGAAGCTATAGTACCTAATATAGACGAATTGTTTGGTATTCTGCATATATTTCCCTTAATTATATAGGAATAAGTTTTCTGCAAGTTATTAATTATTCATAATTTAGTTATTCGAAGTTTAATTAGATAGAAATAACAAGATATGAATTATTTTTTATTGAAAGTGTGATTTATTATAAATTAATTATATGTATTATTTTTATTAAATTATTATTACTATGAAGTAACAAAATTTAAAAATCTTTAAAGTAGTGTTGAAGTTCTCATCATGAATCTACTTTTCGCAATTTGATACATGGAGATTGACTTTTATTTATATGATGAAAGTTCTGAGAAGAGAAAAAGAAGATATTGCTAGATAGATTTGATTTAATATATAATTTGATTTAGTATATAAGACTATAAGAAATGATATCGACTAAACATATTACTATTTTCTAATCTTGAATCACATTGAAAATAGAGATAAAAAATAAAATTAATACTAATAAATTAAAGGATTCAACATCTCATAAAAATGGAGAAATATCTCCCTCTCTCTCTAAAAATAAATCTTCTTTTGGATTTTTTAAGATTCATTTTTATCCATAATCTACTAATTAAATAGATTAATAAAAGACTTACCCAATAAATATATAATCAAGCCCACTGTTATAAATGTATTAATGTGGATGTCTCTTTCATAACCATTTTTAAAGTTCATGTACTAATGAATGAACGTTATTTAATTCTTGTAACTTGTGAAGACATATGCTACTATAATAAGTGATGATTATTTTGTAGAAGACGATCGAAAATTAGAGAAGGAAATAAGAAAGTATTATCTCCCATATATCTTATCTATATGTATTGCCTTATATTATTTTATATTGCTAATATTTTATAACACGTTATCAGCATTAGTCTCTATCCAATTGAGACCTACTTAATTCATGATTATCTTTTTTTCCTAAAAGTTAATCAAATTTTCTTTCTGAGTCAGGTCTACATTTATATGTTTATAACTTTTCTAATCGAACTTTCATAAGTCATTAATCTGCAATTTAATTACTGCATATATGACTTGCTTTAGATATTATTATGATAATTTACTAGGCATAATAATCAATACATTTCAGGTTTATATTATTATGTTATTTATATGCTACTAACTTATAACTCTAAATTAAAATACTAAGCAATGTTTACATCCCTACTTTATTCAAATAAGGAGAAACGTCGTGGTGACTCAAAAAATAATCAATTAATTCAATGTTAAAAGAATTTAAAGAATAAACAAATTTTAAAGGAGTCGCCACCTAATTTTAGGAAAAACTAGGAAGCCAATTTAAAAATGTCTACGAAACCATTAGATTCTAGGTAAGGGGTTCAAGTGATTCAGAAGGAAAGGTGTTAGGCATCCTTCGAAATCCACAAATGTGGTTCCCGACTAAATTCATTTTTTCAAATTGAGGAGGAGATAAAATAGTATACAAGTATAACAAACATACGATATGCACAAATAATAAAACAAAACAATAATATCAAAACAGCCTAAGGTTTGCCTAACATCGATAATATACATAATAAAACATATTCGAACTCCATTGGAATAGCTTCAATGGGAAGCGACTCTGGGGTACCTATAAAGACACTTAGTAAAAATATTAGTTATAAATAAATATGAATAAAAATAAATGAAATAAATAAAAAACTTAAAATAAAAATCGGTCTTATTAACATGGGAGGCCTTGGAAATCGACGGTAATTTCATCATCGGCCAATTTTAACATATAAAAATATGAACTTAAACTAAAATTTCCGTCTTTTAAAGTAGATAGGTCTCGAAAACCGACGGTAAGATTTTTTCATTAGGCAATTTTAACTTTAATTGAACATAATCATATAAAAGTAATAAATTGCAAGGCAACATACAACCTCTTAAAGATAATAAAATAAATTAGCAACAATAATCACATGATAACAATAAATCACTGATAACAAATAACTGATGAAAATGTTGATCACTATATACGATTCATTTGAATAATAATAATAATAATAAATAATAATAACAAAGATCTGACCAAAAATTCTAGAAAAAAAAGAAGCACACAAACAGTAAATCGAAAGAAACTACACACAAACAAAAATAATGCAATAACGAATAAATAAAGAAAATATAAACTCAAAAGTAATTGATAAACTAAAAATAAAATAAAAGTAAAACAATTATATACTTATGCATTGAAATAAGACCAAAACTAATCTTAAATAAAACAAGTAAATCACAAATCCAATCCATACTTACAAGAGTAAAAAAAAATCAAAGTCAAATAAGAAATATAACATCAAAACGTTCCCGAAAGTTCACTGGGCAATTTTAATGACATAGAAGAAAAATCCAAAATAAGAAAAGTGGTCAAACCAGTCCCAATATAACACTAACTAGGAGAATTAACAACATAGAATTAATCAAAAACTTAAACATGAGTAGAAGTATAAAATAAAGTTGGTCGGAGTTCAAACCTCCGTTGTTAGTTGGCTTGCTCCAGTGGTGGAGTCCTCTGGTTCTCGACCTCATAGCTGGGAGCTGATAATCAGATCTGGTTTGTTGTTCCCCGGAGCAATGATTTTGAGCGAAAAATACCTATAAAAATAGAAGAAAACGTAAAAGGGGAAAAGGAAAGAGGTTGACTGCGTCTTGATGGCGTTTTGGTGGTGGTGTTCGTTGTAGCAGCGAAAGGGAGAAAGGGAAAGAGGTTTTGGTGTCGATTTCTGGTGGTTGTGTGCGACTGTAGTTGGAGTGATGGTTGCTGGTTTTTTCTGACCATTTTTCGATGGGGTTTTGGTATTGGAAGAACGATTGTTTCGCTCGGCAAGAAGAGGTGAACGAAGGTGGTTTGGAGTTGAATCTGGGTGGAGTAGTGACCGAAAAATAATGAAGGGTGAAATCCTTTGTGAATAAAAATTTGAAACCCTAATCTAAAAAATATTTCCAGCACCCTTGACTTAATGAATAAGCTGTTGTTTATCTAGAAAATCGACAATTACCTATAATATAATATTATTTTCTTAAAATCGTGGGTCAAAATCATTAGAAAATAAAATATCTGTGTATATGAAATTTTATCCATATTGAATGAATTTCTAGACTGACAAAATATCAAAATGTATACTAACAAATGTAACGAATAAAATGAATATTAAAAATTATATTGAACGTAACTAATGACATGTAAAAATGCAATTTAGTAGAAATTATGATTTAATTAAAATGAACAAATATTTGAACGTAGTCAACCGGTTAAAATAAAAATAATGTAATTAAAATTAACTAATAAAAAATTCTG